AAACACAAAAGTTTTGTTGCTTGAAGAGACACTTGAGTTGCTCAGCTGGGAAAGAGATGGATCTGTCGAAGGAAGAGGAGCGGCTAATGAGAAGGAGGACACCCAGCGGCGGGGCGGCCCCCGGAGGGGCGGTGACCAAGAAAGTGGTCGAGGCCCCCAAGATGGCGATCCGCTCGCCCTCGGGCAGGGCCGACCGGGTGCGCGTCGAGCTGGTGACCCCCTCCAACCACGCCAACGTGCTGCGGTCGACCGAGGTCGAGCTCAACAAGGGCCGCATACCAATGCGTCGCCTCATGGACGAGTGGTACATGCGGAAGCCGATCTGGGTCGACGCCGACCTGCCCGTGGGGCTCCACCCTGACGGCTTCAGCGACGTCGAGTTCGTGGGAATCGACAAGGTGCGACTCATCGACGAGCCCAGCAACAAGTGATGGGGACCACCAGCTCCAACCAGATAAATCACAAATGTAGTATTTATTAAATGAACTTTGTTGTGAAGGAAGTACTTGCCTTGTACAGGTTATATGTATGTAAGATAATAAGTGATTGGCTCACCTCAGTGTCCGCGATTGTCCCGGGCGGGCCTCGCCAGCCTTGCGCTCTGCAGACCTTGGTCGAGCGATGCTGGTTCCCCTCGAGGCCTTCGCTCTCCCGTCGGAGCGTTGCGCCGACCTTGGCCGCCCCGGTTCAACTCCCCCGCATTGTCAGCAGGGGCGCTTACACGATTCCGCTTGCTGGGCCGCCCCGATGGCAGGCCCTGGTCCATCAGCATATCCGACGCGGAAGAAGAGCCTTCACACACTGCATCTCCGTCGCCTCGCTTCGGTTGCGGTTGGGTGCGCCGCTCCCGGCAGTCCTGGGGGTGCTGCGCGGCCTCTTGTCCCCCTGTGATGCTCACATTCTCCAGCAAGACTCCGCCACCGTCGCTCTTCAGCGAACTGCGCACCACAAGCGTGTCAATACGCAACGCCAAGCCAAAGTCAGAGGGAACGGAGCGCACCTCACGTTGGATCGGCCCATTGGTAGGGGAGGTGCGTGTAGCGACCCGTCGTCGGGTCTCTTGGGCAGACGCCTGGTGGCCCGCAGGAAGAGGAAGAGTAAGCGGTTGGCTGTTACTTCGCCAGTGTGAAGAATCCACGCGTACATCAGAATGTCTTCAGGAACTCGGATCGGGTCGAGGTTGTTTACAGAGGATGCTTCGATCTCACATACCACGTCCAGCACGGTTTGGCGCAGGCCTTCCGAGTGAATGCTGTGCCTCACGATCCTGCTCACCCGGCCGAGCAAATTAGCAATATCATCACATACCAACACACCGTCAAGTGCGGGCGTACTCGCTCACGGCGTGGTAGACGGTGAGGCCGACGGGAGGCAAGCTGCCGCCGCTTTCAGTCTGCTGCGACTTGCTGGACCACACGGCCAGGTGGGCGCGGCAGTGCTGCGCGAGGGCGCGCAGGTCGGGCAGGTCGGTGGACAGCACCTCCTCGAGCTTGTCCACCACCTTGTCTCGCGAACAGGTGTCGTAGGCCACCCGCTTGAAGTCCAGGAAGAGCTTCCACAGCCGCTGGGCCGCGTCGTAGAGGTCGGGGAAGGTGATCGAGGCCCGCTTGTGCAGGGCCAGCGCAAACACCTTCAGGTTGCTCACCAGGAAGCGCACGAACTGGCGCAGCCCGAGCCGACCCACGTAGGTGGGGGCGAGCTTGCCGTCCATGACCTCGACCGCGGTGGTGGTGAAGCGGCCGCCGCGCAGCAGCCACACACCAGCACCATCGCCGTCGAGCCGGTGAAGCCAGGGCGAGTCCCTCTCGAGACAGTGAACGTCGATAGTCCACCCGGTCTTGGCGGCCATGGTGTTCTCGAGCCGCTTGCGACTGTCGTGGTTGGACGGGACGCCCAGCACGATGAAGTCAAAGTTGTTTGGGTGGGGGCTGTAGAGGGCCGACCCGAAGAAGAAGATGTCCGTCACCTCCTGGGCGAGTGCTTCGTCTATGCATATCCGTAGAACGTCCACCGCATCCACCCTCTGTCGCGGGTGCCGCTGGGTCCGCTGCATCTTATCTTCTTCCTTGCTCTTCTTGCTTCTTGCCCTTATTATCTTTGTTTGTTCATCGATCGCCATTTCGCCTTATGGTAAGCACATTCTTGGCATTCAAATAACAAACAAGGTTAAAAAGAATAGATATTGGATTATTTATCACTTTTGTACTACCGCGGCACAACCGCGGGAGTATAAAATCAGAAAGAAAGAAAGAAAGGAGATGGAAGAATTACTACACGATGAGTTGATGGCTTGACTCGACCCAGATCTTAGCTCGCCTTGTTGAGGCAGAAGTCGAGGCGATGCGGCAGCGCGGTGCTGGGACCCACGGCCACGCTGTGGGAAACGGGCGCGTAGCCAGAGCTCGACGCGGTGAAGACATAGTTGGTGGTGGCGGACGGCCGCGGCATGATGCGGTGGTAGTCGCCCGTCTCACGGTCGAGCTTGACGGCCTGCATGCGGCAGTTGGCGGAGTGGCACGACTCGGCCTCGACGATGACGGTGCCGACGGTGATTGGCGCCTTGGTGGCGCAGTCGGTGACGACGCCCCACACGCGGTACTTAGTCTGCTCGAGGTAGGCCAGCATCGACTCGCGGTTGTCGTTCCAGAACGAGATCAGCGTCTCCTTGGCCGGCCACTTCTCGTCGGAGAGCTCGACGGTGATGTGCAGGGTGCCGTGCCACAGGTAGGCATAGTCCTGCATGCCGCCGTAGAGCACGTACCAGTCGGCGCCGTTGGTGATGCCGCTCGGGAACTCGCGCGACCCAGACATCGTCTGACTGTTGGCTGCGTAGACGCGAGCCAATTGCCTGTGCGATCACACGACACACAACACGCACGAACGCACGAGACGTACACATACAACTGCTTAGAGACTTGCGAATGACCAGAAGATGGTGCACAGGAAAGGCAGCGATGATCGGTACCTGTAGAGGAGGTCGTCGGGAGAAGGGGCGTATCGGCCGCTTTCCCGCTGGCGATTGCCGTCGAAGGGGTAGTTGGCCACGACCGACCCACCGTGGTAGTTGGCGGCGAGGGCAAAGTTGTGGTCGCCCATCCACTGCATCACGGCGACGACCTCGGGCTCGAAGTTGCCGACCGGCGCGACGAAGGCGCCAGAGCCGGTGCCGAGCGGGGGGAGCGGGGAGACCGGGTTAGGGCGGCCCCAGGTGGTGGGGTCGAACTGATCAGGGAAGTTTCTGTTCAGATCCTTGCGGCGGCCGTTGGCACGTCGTCCGCCGGCAAAGCCTGGAGTCAAGAACGAGATCAGCACTAAAGCTCGGCGCACGCGCGCACGCACGCACCATCAGGGTTCATGGTGGGCAAGATGTGAATGTCGGTGTTGTCGACGATGGCCTTGATGCGCGGCTGGTGGTACTGGTCGCAGAGGTGGTAGATGAAGTAGAGCGACAGCTCACGACCCACGACCTCGTCGCCGTGCATGTTGGCGATGTACTGGAACTCCACCTCCCCGACCTCGTTCACCTCTGCACATCAAACCAAAGCCAACGACAACTGTTGGAAGATGGATTCCTATTATTAATGGGTCGCTGCGTACCAGGGTTGTCGGTGATGCGAATGGCCCAGAGCTCGGCGCCGAGGAATGTCTTGCCAATGGAGTACTTGCGCGCGATGTTCGGGCACTTGAGCACGATCTCATCAAGGAAGTTCGAGATCTGGTTCTGATCGTGGTAGTGCTTGTAGAGATCATTAGGATCGATCGCTCGCTCCCCTCTCTTTCCCCTCGAACGGCTGCTCTCAAGGAATCGAAGGAATTCCTCTCTTGTAGGGTCCTCCACAATGGTGAGATTGGAAGCCAGGTGCTGCAGCTTCATCAGTTCGATCTCGGGAAGCTTCACTTCGACATAGGACTGATTCGATTTGGGGCATTCGGGACCGAAGCCCAAATCCACAAGCTCCTTGATGATGTTGCTCTTTGCCTGCACGTCGTGTGCCGCAATGCGCGCCACCACTTCGTGTCCCTCCTCGTAATCGAGCTCGAGCGTCGATGCAACCGAAAAAATAGCGATAAATAGGAGAAACAGGGGAAGGAGGAGCCTCTTGCCCATCCTTACGTTTCCCATTCCTCTTCAATTGGATATCATTAATCAATCAATGCTCCACAACTCTTTTTTTTTCAGCTTTTTGTTTTTTTATTGTGTCGACACCGCATTCCCGCCCGCAATACCAAAGCGAGAGGACGAAGAAGAGCTCTGCCGGCACAACCAGAGGGTAAGGCGGCACCCGACGCAAACCCTTGAGTCGTCCTCTTGTTGCTTCTTTTCTCGAGACGGTCCGGGCCGTATTTTCAAGATGAACGGAGGTGCGTGCTTCCCTTCATTTTTTTTATTTTTGTATTACATTTTTGTAACCGTGCGTGACCAGGCGACTGCTACAAGTGCGGGGTCGCGTTCAAGGTACCTCCACAATAAGCTCACTTGTAATATAAATATATTCTATTTCTATTTCTATCCCTTTTACCTTATTTATCAATATCTTATTTTAATTTTTGAATGTGTACCGCCTATCAGGGAACGCCGTCGTTTTGCACGGCTTGCGGCGCGTCGTTCAAGCGAGCGTCCATGCTCGCCCGCCAGAACCCGGACGGCAACTGCGGCAAGTGCGGTGCCGGCTACAAGGTACACCTGCCATTCATTCATCTTCCAATTCTTTGCTTGCTTACAATTCTCGCCGTGCAGGGAAGTCCCAACTTCTGCGTCAAGTGCGGCTTCTCGTTCAAGAAGAAGGCGCCCGCGGCCTCGGCGGCGGTCATCAACAGCGCGGCGCCGGCGAGCCCCGCGCCCGCTTTTGCGTCGACCGTGACCTCCTCCGCGACCGCGACCGCGTCGGCAAGCGGTGTTCGCAGCAGCCCGGGCTACAACAGCGCCATCTCGGCTTCGTCGCCGTCAGTTACCACCTCGCGCGCTGCTGCCCCCACCAGCCTCGCTTCGACCGCCTCGGCGCCTGCGGTGAAGCCAGCGTCGACTCCCACCGCCACGGCCGCAGCTGCCACGAATTCCACGCCCGCGGCCGCCTCCTCTTCGTCGCCTGCATCATCGCCCGCCAACACCGGCTCGGGCTCGCTCCGGCGCTGGGGGAGCACCGTCAGCTCGACCGCCGCCTCGTCCACCCCAGCCTCGACCTCGGCCTCGACGACCCCCGCGGCGGCGGCCACGACTAGTACCCCTGCAGCCTCGGGCTCGACATCGGGCACGACGAGCGCCCGCAAGTGGGGCGCCGCCGGCAGTGCTTCGCCCGCGCGCACCTACGCATCCAACACCCTGCCCCGCAACTTCACCCTCTCTGCGGCGTCTTCGCCTTCCACCGCGTCGTCGCCGTCAGCAGCGTCGTCGTCGGCCTCCAGCTCTGGGAACACGCCCTCGTGGCGACGCAACCAGAGCGGCGCCACAGCGTCGTCGCTGGCCTCCTCCACCTCGAGCGGAAGCGGCTCCGCGATCACCCCTGCGTCCTCGAGCGCGGCTTCGCAGACGACGACCTCCGTAGCCTCCGTCTCCACCACTCCCGCCATCACCGTCTCGCCGACGCCGACGACGGCATCCGGGCCGTCAACCACAAAGGCCACCACAACGCTGTCGACTCCCTCCTCGCCGGCCGCCTCGCCGGCCACCGGCGGCGGCGGCATGTTCCGATCGTCGTCCTCGCCGGCGGTTCCGTCCTCGTCCTCATCCTCGTCCTCGTCGCCGTCGGCGTCGCCGTCGTCGGCGGCCGCTTCCACCTCGGCCGCCTCCGCCACCACCAAATCGCCTCAGGCCGCTCTGGCCTCCTACGGCGATCGGTACGCCATCAACTCCCCCCCCCCAAGGTGGGTCCCAGCTCACCTTTTTTTATCGACTCACCGTGTCCCCTCCCCCAGGCTGAAGAACCTGCGAGGCCGTGCCGGGTCGGCTACCACCTTGCCCACGACCAGGTAAGCCGACGTGGATTATTATTTGATCGATTATTTATTTAATTGTTCAACTACAGCTCGGGCTCGGGCTCGACAGTGTCGGCGTCGGCGTCGGCCGCAGCGCCGGTGTCGGACGAACAGCTGAGACGGGAGGGCGAGGAGCTGATCCGCAAGCTCGAGGCCGCACGCCGCGAGAAGGACAACGCCAGGCGCGAGATGGACACCATCCTGCAGCGAAAAGAGGCTGCCAGGTACACTTCCCCGTCACTCACGCACTCGTGTGCGGTGGTGCGTGTCGTGTCGTGCGTGCGGTGTGTCGTGTGTGCGGTGGAGTGAGGGCTGAGGATTAACCACCTTGCGCAGGAAGAAGATGGAGGCCATGCACGGAAAGAAGAGCGCCGCTGTGGGCGAGAAGCCCGCGGCGGCCGGAGCTGGTCGAACCTCCACCCACGCGCAATCGTCGCGACAGAGCGTCCGCAAGAGCTCCTACGCGCGGACCCAGGCAAACGCAGCCATCGTGCAGCGGCTCGGGCAGGTAACCACCTTCTTCCCCCCCTCCTCTCATTCTTCGTTCTTTCTCTTCGTTCTTTCTCTCTTCTCATCGCGCTTCGTTCTTTCACCCCCCTCTTGATAGGTGTTGGCCACAATGGAGACGTTGGAGACCGCCATCGCCACCGCCGAAGACGCGCAGGCCAAGGCCGAGAACGAACTCATCGAATACGCCATCGAGCAGAAGAAGCGTGAGGAGGTACGCACTGGCACAGCATGGCCCCGCTGGGCCGGCTTGATCATGTCGAAAGTGTTCTAAATCGCGTGTGTGCTCAACCGGTTCGCAGTCGGTCCATGAGCTGCTGCGGGAGTTGGCCGGCGTGCAGGCGAAGCTGGCGACCTTCCAGCAGCGCTTCGCGTCGAACCAGAAGGCGGCCTCGTTCTCGGCGCAGATCTCGCAGATTCTCGTGGCCTGCGTCACCGCCGTCGCGCGCACCCTCACCACCCAGGCCGCCGCTCCAGCCGCTTCCACGGTGCGCCCACCACTTCTTTCGTTCCTTTCTTCTTTTTCACTGCATGCATCGTGTCTTCAAACTCACCGCACGCACGCACACACGACACGCACGCACGACACTCAGCAGCCGGCGTTCAACCGCTCGGGATCGTTTTCGGCGATTCCGGCAGCGCCGACGGCGCCCATGGCCCCGGCGGCCCCAATGGCGCCAGCCCCGCCAAGCGCACTCACCTCCTCGGGACAGACGAGGTCCACTCCCATCACTCTCACCTTTTGCTACATTTATATGTTTAATATTTATGTTATAAAAAATGCGAATTTCTCTTTGCTATTTTATTTATGCATCTTTTATTGAAGATTGTCGCTCATGTTCTTCTTCGCTTTGTTGTGCGCTCAGTGTGCCCGGTAACACTTCTCTGTTGGCCCAGATCAAGGCCGGCAAGCAGCTCAACAAGATAGACATCGAAGCCCTCCGAAAGGTACTCGCGTGTGCGATTGTGTCGCGGCGTGTTGTGTGTTGCGTGTCGTGTCGCGTGGGTGATCAGAGCTCAGAGGGCCCCTACACTACAATCAACAAATCACAGAAACGAAAGCGGCAGTCGAGCATGTCGCTCTCGGTCATCGCGCAGACCCTGCGCGCGGCGATCGACCTCAAGTTCGACGAAGACGACGACGACGACGACGAACCGGCGGACGGCGGCGGCGAGGAATGGGACGAAGACGTGTGGGACGAGGAGGACTGCTTCTGATGAAGGCGATGATGGTGACCATGTATGATGATGATAATGCAGTTTCGCAAGAACAACTGTTATTGGCTCGCACTCACTCCCTCTTCTTCTCTTCCTCTGCTTCCTTTTCTCCGCCGTGGCCTTCTGGTTCCTCGTTCTTCTCGCCCTTTTCGATCTCGTCGCTCTTTCTCTTCTTCCCTCTCGTGGCGTCACCGGCAGCTCCTCCTTCTGTCGAAGCCGACGAAGCTGATCGCCAATTAGTAATCATGAAAAGAAGAACGAAGAAGAACGAAGAACGAAAAAGAACGAAGAAAGAAGCGGAGGCGGTACATATGAAGCTCACAGACGGGGCCGCGGAGGAGGAGGAAGAAGACGAAGAAGAGGTGCTGGCGGCAGCTGTTGCCGGCGGCGGAATGGTGACCGGCGCCGCTTCCAAGACGGGGCCGAGATCGAGCGCGAATGTGTCACTGTGGAAGGTGAGGCACTCCTGCGTGTCGGGACTGAAATTGCTCGACCCGCCGAACACCACCAACGACCTGCAGGCCACGAAGAAGCAAAGAGGGGGGGGGGTGAGCAGTCCGACATGCACAATTCCAGAAGTGAACTGTGATTCACCCACCTGTTGTGAAGCACGGCCGAATGGAAGCGGCGCGCGTTGATCCTGCTGTCGTTGGCAGCGATGGTCGGCTGCACCCAAGCGGACGTAGCTGCACGTGGTCCAAATTGAGTTGAAACAATAGAATATTATTTATTATATAAAAATAAATAAATAAGATGGTGTGCCATACCGATATCGAAGACGTGAACATCGTCGAGCAGGGCGTTGGTGGAGGAGAGCCCGCCAAAGAGCACCAGCTGCTGCTTGCCGGCCGGCGCGAGCGATGTGAAGCTGTGGAAGGAACGCTCCGCAGGTACCGCGCCAGACACCGAAGGCTGCAATCAAACACAATTGGGGGGCGGGGGCACAGAGGCAAGCCTTAGTCCACGTTCTGGAGCGCCAGGCCGAGCCATGCCAGCGTACCTTGGTCCAAGTGTTGGTCGTGGTATCAAGCTAATGAGAAGAAGCGAGAAGAAGCGAAAAGAGAAGTTCATTAACGCAGAGAACAGCGGTTTGGAGGTGCGATGCGTGTACGAACCACGTAGAGATCGTTCTGCCTCTTGGTGGTGTCTCTGCCGCCGAAAACGTAGATGGAGCCACCCACGACGTCCATCCCGAATGCAGCGCGAGGCGAAGGAATGTCACCGCTGGCCTGTACTTGCTGCCAGGCCTTCGATTCTGTTGCACAACACACGACACACATGACACACATGACACACACGGCACACATGAACAACACGAGGTAGGGATCGAGCGGCGGATCTGGGTAGGGCACAAGCCATGTAAACGCACCCGTGTCGTAGACAAACAGATCGTCGAACCAGTTGAAGCTCATGGCGGGTCCTTCGTCCTCGTACTCATCCTCCTCACCCTCGTCATCGGCGCCGTCCTCGCCCGCGTTCGTCGACGCTTCATCGCGATCGGGCATTTCCACTTCGGCCTCGACCGGTCCGAATCCGCCAAAGAAATAGAGCTTCCTGGTGTGGTGAGCGAGCCGGGTGGAGGTGGATAAGTGAGAAGTGGGTCTCCCGGCCGGGAGTGGGTGCGATGATGGGGCCGCAGCAACAACGCACTTGCCAACGACGCAGACCGCGCTCTTGTCCCTCGGCGTGGGTCCCTCTCCGGAGCCTTGCACCTGCTCCCACGTCCCCTCGGCTGGGGAATGATCGTCAGACGGTCAAGAGTGAGTGGAGATGAAGTGTAAGAGCACAATACAAAACAAACTCTGGTCGAGGGAAGGCGAGACGTGTGGTACCGATGTTGAAGCAGTAGAAGTCGTCGAGGAAGCCTCGCTCCATGTCCATGCCGCCAAAGACGAACATGTGGCCATCGACAACCGCAGCGCAGGCGCCCGTGCGTGCGGAGGGGGCTGTCGGGTGCCCGAGAGAAGAGCAGGGTAAGACAGGCAAATAGAGAAGAGAGATGGTGGTTCATCTTGCATGACCGAAGAAGCATAAGAACAGTACCATTGCCGCTCGTGGTGACCTCCTTCCACTCAGACGAGTCTGTGAGGAGTTAAATCGAAGTTAAAGAAGGTAAAAAGTGTAGGAGCGCAAGTCAGCAACGTCGGTATACCCAGGTCGAAGGTCCACATGTCGGCCCGTTGGGTTCCGCCGCTCGAGCCCCCTCCAAAGATGTACAATTTGTTTTCCCACGAGGCCGCTACCTGGCCCTCGCGTCCAGCAGGCACTGCGGGCGATCCGCTCACCAGCTTGCGCCATTCGGCCTGTACATTGTACGGAATCGGCGTCGAAGCTTCGTTTCCCATCTCTCAGATAGATCTTGTTCTGCTTTGCTTCAATCGTTGGGTACTTTGTTTTCCCGCCTTTTTTCGAAATTGTTGGCATTCTTGTCTTGTTTTTTATTTTATTTTATTTTTTATCAGATGTGTTGATGAAGACGGCCGAACAATGTGAAACGTGGGCCATAGGGCAAGAAGGCTATGAAGAGGAGCCCACCACCCGCTTATTCGACGTAAACGGCGACGTCGAGGTAGTCGCCCGTCACGAAGCGGACAGAGTCGAGCGTCTTCTTGTCGTCCTCCGAACGCTTGGCCGAGAAGACCACGCCGACGTTCTTCATCTGGTAGCGACCCCTGTGCCATCATTAACACGAGTAGAACATCAGTGGTCCGGCATGTGTGTGTGTGTGTGTGTGTGTGTGATGTGTGCGATGTGTGCGATGTGTCGCGTTTGGGGTGGCGTTGTGCGTGCGGAGAGCGCAGAAGGAGGCTGCCGCTCACCTGTGGTCAGGGAACACAAGAGCAAAGGAGATGCGTGCACGGCTGTTGCGAGCAGTGGCGTTGACCTCCTTGACGAGGTTCGCCATTTCACGGAGCGTGGCGTCCTTCCTGCAGACGAAAGTATAGTGAGTGAGGTCCACCCAATGCCCGCCAGTGCAGCCGCGCCGTCTGTCGCGCTCCTTTCCACACCAATAGATGCCCGCACTACGCTCGCGGGCGAGAGAGGGGACGAGGTACCATGTGTAGATCTGCACTTCTTCAGCGGGCTCTCGGCCACGTGCTTGGAAGTCCTCAACACGGTGGTGGCCACCGGTCTTGATGAATACTCGCAGAAGAAGAGGGCAAACCTGTTGATCAAGGAAATAGTAAGCCAACTATGGGGGGGGGGCATGAATGCTATTTAAAGGAATTGTTCGGATTCAACGTTCAGCACGACTGTGTCTACCTTTTCTCTGTCGATCACCACCGGCGGGCGCGCGCTGATCGGGCCTGCAGCTGCCATCTGATTTCTATCTATCAAGATCAAATCTAAAAGATCGTGGAAAAAGAAAAAAACATTCCGCACCTTTTCTTGGTGCCACGTCAGCATGACCTGTTCTTCTGGAAATTTCGAGAAGGTCAGAACGTTGGGTTTCCCTCCAAAACTGTGGACGTCCTTTGGCGCTCTCATCATCGATCTCATTCCTATCCTCTCCGGCTCATCCATTGTCTCTCAGCTCTCGTGCACCCGTTTTTATCAAAAATGAGCTACCAAGTCCCAGATCCCAACTCGTTAACGATCCCGAAGCTCAAATCGGTCCTCACGCAACATGGTTTCGGTGACCAGCTGCCGGCGCATCAGGAAAAGAAGGGATTCTACGTCGACCTCTACCGCAAGCATATCGTGCCCCTCCTCGAGGCCCGCAACGCGGCATCGCAATCGCTCACGCCTGGACCCACCTCCACCACAACGGCCGCATCAGCCAAAGAGAGGGCAACGAAGACTGATCTCGTGGATCGACGAAGGACCATTCATTGTACGCCTCTCCTACTTTCTCCACGTGGCCATTTGTGCAAGCTGATGGAGATTAACGGCGCCCAATTAATGCTCGCAAATGAATGGTTCTGGGCACAGCCTTGGCCCCGGAGCCGACGGAAGCAGCACCGACCAAACTCACACAGACCAAGCTCGTCGCCAAGTCGGCTGTGCCGACTGGCCCCACCACGCCTGCAGCTAAAGGTGTTCAATCTATTGTGCTCCGAAAACCGCCCAGTTGCTTACACCTTCTTCTTCTTCCGTTTTCTCTCTCTCTCTCTCTTCGCACAGCCGATGCCGCGCCTGCCGCCGTCATGCCGCGTCGCCTGTTCGCGCCCGAGCAGCAGCCCACCACCGGTACTTAGCCCACCACTGCTCTTCTTCGTCGAGCTCCGAAGTCTGACGGTCTCCATTACTTCTCGCACCTGCACAGATCAACACGTTGTGTCCACGACTCCTGCGGTCTCAACAACGAAGCCTTCTTCTTCGTCGTCGTCGTCATCGTCTTCAGTGCCTTCTTCCTCTTCTTCCTCTTCCTCTTCCTCTTCATCCGCCCCGATCCTCTCCCCGAAGGCGTCGGCCTCTCGTCGCACCACGATCGCGACCGGCGCCGTCTCCTACCCCAAGCTTGGGGCACCCGCCCCGGCCGCCACGACCGCCAAGGCCACCACCTCCGCCGGTCCCGACCTGCGTCAGATCATAGCCCTCCAGCACGCCCGGAAGAAGAGCGCCGGCGGCAGCAGCGCGGCGATGTGGCTCTTCGGCGTGCTGGTGCTCGCCGTGGCCGTGGGCGCGGGTCTGTTCATGTACGGCCAGCTGCCGTCCCTGCTGCAGGCCGAGAAGCCCTACTTTTGCGACACCACGGGCGTGAGCGACAACCGGCAGAACCCGCGCGAGCCGGTGGTGCCCTGCGTCGACTGCCCGAACTTTGGCGTGTGCAAGGACGGCCGGCTGATCAAGTGCATGCGGGGCTACGAGGTGAGCGGCGGCGTGCACTGCGCGCGCGACAAGGAGATCGCGCTCGCGTTCGAGTTCTGCAAGGAGGCCGCGCACAAGACGCTGGCCCTGCGCGCGGGCGAGCACCAGTGCGGCTACCCGGTGCCGGCGCTGCCCATGGAGGAGCAGGAGCTGCGCGACATTCTTAAGCAGAAGATGAAGGACGCGGCCCTCTTCCCGTGGGACGAGGCCAAGTTCAACGAGGCCTTCCTCGACTTGAAGAAGGACCTGCAGAGGTCCACCTCCCACCGCAACGTCATCATCCGCGCCTCGAACGGCAACTACACCTTTGACACCACGTACCTACGACACACACACACGACACACACGACACACACACACAAACACACCACACAACATGCGCGCCTTGATGTGAATCTCACGACTTGTGTGCAGCGACGTGGTTGTGCCGTATGCGTGTGTGCTGCAGCGAGTGGTGCTGGAGCACATCTGGTACATCGTGGGCACGCTGGTGGCCCTGGCCGCCGTCCTGCGCTTCGTCCGGCTGCAGCAGACGAAGGCCCAGCGCGAGGCCGACATCGAGACCCTGGTCGAAAGCACCAAGACGCTGATCAAGGAGGAGAAGAAGGCCGGCAAACCCCCCTCCTCCGTGCTCCACATCAGGTACAGTCATTCTTCTCTTCTTCAGCCCTCTCCAACACTCATGGTTGTGTGTGTCGTGTGTGTTGTGTGTGTGTGTCGTGTGTGTGTCGTGTGTGTCGTTGTATGATACAACATAGGGAGGACCAGAGAGAGAAGCAAACGGAGCTCAAGAAGCGGTACCCGACGGTCAAGGACTGGCTGGCCATCTGGGCGGTGGCCGAGAATAGGGTCCGCGCCGACACCCGATTCAAGGAGTACTCGCAAATGGTACCCTCTTCCTCCACCAGCACGACACACACGACATGACACGACACGCACGACACACACAGCACTCAACTCTTGGCTGCGGCGACAGGTGGCGGGACAGCAGCAGCAGGTGTGGGAGTTCGTTGGCACGGTCGATGCTGCGATGGCCGAGAAGATCCTCAGCCCGCCCTCGCGCAGGTCCTACCCCCACTGAGGCCTCGCAACCACCCCTCCACTACGACCGAAGGAGTGATCAGCATTGGACGCTGCTTCTTCCTCGATTGACTTCCTGTTATCCATGAAACAAATAAAACAAAACAATAATTAAATAGCGAGCCTCTACTTAAATTGTTTATTAATCTTTAAGCTTGGTTTCTGACTTGAAGATGCCCGAAGAGAGGGCGAGTGCCGCGCGCTGCGAGTGGAGCGCTGCCAGCTGCGCGTAGAGCCTCGATAGCAGACCGGTCCACTTTGCGTCGTAGGGCCTTTGTGTGTGTGTGTGTTGTGCGTGTGTGTGTGTGCGATGGTGTGTGCGATGGTGTGTGTGATGGTGTGTGCGGTCAGTCAGCCGGTGAATGGAGAATGTAGAGAAAATGGCGGTCGTGGTGGTGGCAGGCGTACCAGACAAGCCACATCAGAAACTTGGGGCCGAGGGCGAAGGCACGCAGGAAGGTGGCGCCGGTCGGGGTGACCACCAGGGTCAGCTTCCCGTTGTCGCAGCACAGCCAGTACTTCTTGCCCTCGTCCTTGGGCAGCTTCGCGCACAGCGTGAAGAACCGACCGTCACTACCACCACCGCCGCTACCACCGGTGCTCGCCGGGGCCTTGGCCCTCGTCGGGGCGGCAGTGGTGGTCGTCGGCTTGACCCTCGAGGCCTCGCCTCGCCGTGGTGCTGCTACCGAGCTCGGGGGCTGCCGGGTCATCGTCGTTGCTGTGGGCGATCTCCTCGAGCTTCCACGAAAGGGCCTGGCGAGCGTGGCCGTCACGTTGCCACCTTCGTCCAGTCCCAGATACGAGCCCTGGTTGTATGTGTGTGTGTGTGTGTGTGTGTGTGTGTGTGTGTGTGTGCGGTGTGCGGTTTGCGTGTGTGTGCGGTGTGTGCGGTGGGGCGTGTGCCGTAAGTACCACAACAGTAAGCCCATCAGTATGAATGCGAACCATGTAGCACTGGAGGGCGACGTAGTGGACGTGGGGCTTGGCCTTCTTGAGGCTCCCCCCGTCCGCCTGCTTTCGTTTACTCTGCTGCTCGCTTTCACTGTCCATCATCGCCCTCGCTCTGGTGGCCACTCATCAGCGAGCGCCCACACCGCACACACACACACCGCACGCACCACGACACACGCCACATCGCACACGCGCGCGACTCTCTCATACCTGGGTGTGGTGGGAGGTGGAACCGAGGCGGTGCGCGGGAGGAGGTGGAGGAACCAAGTGTTGGGCTCCTTGGGGTTGGAGGTGGTCACGCCCACCTGGCCCGTCGTCCCGCAGTACAGGTGGCTGCGACCATCGCCCGCGGCCCGCAGGAATATCTTGTTCGGCAGCGACCGCACCGTCCACACTCGCGCCTGCATCGTGTGTCGTGTCGTGTGTGCGGTCAGTGTGTGTCGTGTCGTGTCGTTGTCGTGTTGTGTTGTGTGTGTTGTGTATTACCGGTTGCTTTTTGCTGTTGATGAGTTCGCCGGTGTTTTTCTTGCAGCGGAGGAAGGCGCCGCTGGTGTGCCGGATGGTGACCTGACACTCGCTGCCGGGCGACTCCACTGCGGCCTGCGGCGGCGCCGGCCCCGCCAGCGGCAGCCCCATCCACAGTTGGCCCGCTTGCGGCTCTTCCGGTCCTCCTTGTTGTCCCTCTCCCTCTGTTGCGGGTCATCCTCCACAAACTCCCTGCGTGTGTCGTGTCGTGTCGTGTCGTGTCGTGTCGTGTCATGTCGTGTCGTGTCGTGCCGTGTCGTGTGTCGTGCCATTGGGTGTGTGTCATTGGTACCAGCGCCCGAAGCGGCGGAAGTGGTTCTTGCGGAGGATGATGTTTTCGGCGGAGAGGTGGCCGTTTTCGTCGGTGCAGAGGTAGGTCCCGCTGTAGGCCACCCGGATGCCCAGCAGCTTCTTCACCCCGCGCAGCGTGGCCTGCGACGGCTGGTCTCCCCCGTGAGGCCCCTTCTCACCCGCCCCTCGCGCCCCTGTGTTTTTCGTTTTGTTTAGTTCGTCCCACAACAACACACACGACACGACACACGACACACGCACACGGCACGCGCGGCACACACGACATGACACGCACGGCACACACGGCATGACACGCACGGTGTGAAGGTAGGTAGGTAAGAGGTAGGTAGGTAAGGTACCTTCGCGAAGAATGTCGGTGACGTACTCGAGGACGAAGCAGGAGGAGGTCTGCAGGCTGGGCTCCATGGAGATGGAGCCGTCCAGCACGGAGACGCACAGGTAGCGGCCGTCGTGGGCCATCAGGCACACCTCCTCCCGCAACACCCTCTCGACCCCCGTCGTCTCCTCCGGCTTGGGCGCTGCAGTGCAATCAAGAGTGAGACCCCACCGCACGACACACACACGACACGACACGACACACACACACACACACACACACACACACACACACACACACACACACACACACACAGCGCACGTAACGAGAGCGTACGTGTGTCGGAAAGTTGGCTATCGCCGATGGCCTTTTCGACCCTCTTGCGGCCGATCAGCTCCAGCGTGGCGACGCGTCGGACCACCTCCGGGTTGGCCCGCAGCTTGAGCTCAAAGGTCGCCGGCCCCGTTGTCGCGGCCGGCCCGGTGGCCGCCAACGAGCCGCCTCCGCCGCCCGGCTGCGGTGTGTTGACGGCCACCTGAATGGGGCGGTCCGCGGCGGTCTGCTGGGGCGCCTTCCTCCGGATGAGCCCGTCCACAGAGTAGCTGGAGACCAGCTGCCCGGCCGTCCGCGACTGGGGAGTCGCTGGGGCTTGCTGGCCCTGGCCCTTTCTGCCCGGCGCAGCGTCGCCTCCGGGCGCCCTGCTCAACTGATATCTCCGACTGATCTCCGCCACAATCAGCACCGCACGACACACGACACGACACGACACACGACACACAACATGGCACGCGAACCTGACTGGCGGTGATGCACCGTAGTCCCGTAGTTGTTGTTGGCGGGGCCACAGTTCCATGCGGGTGGCGTCGGAGCTGCGGCGCCGGGAGAGGCGCAAGCCGGCCTGGGCCAGCTCCTCGCTCGACCGCACCAACGCCGGAGGCGACATGCCCGACGTCACCGACACCGACGCGTAGGCCGGCAGCAGCGTGAAGCCCGACGTCGACACTTCCGACACCACCTGGTGCTGCACCATGCGTCTACTCGGCGGCCCTGCGGGCTGACCCTGGGCTCGGCCGCCGGGCACACCGAGGAGTAGAGCCCCAGTGGTGGCGGCGGCGGCGGCGGCGATGGTGATGGTCGGCGTGGTGGTGGGCAGGTGGGGGGCCGGTAAGTTGGAGACACGGTCGGCGCCGATGTTGCTCGTGGGGGTGACCGAGCTGGGCCGTCGCTCGGGCAGCTTCCAGCCGCCGGTGTCTCCGCTTAGCATTGACTTGGCGGCGGCCGATGGAGGTAGCGACGTTGAAGATGACGATGACGATGATATGGATGATGACGACGACGACGACAACATCGACGTGGCCGCAGTAGACGCAGTAGAAGCGGAAATGGAGGGCGGCGGCGGACCCAGCAGGGCCTCGAGACCGCCCGACGAGGGTCTTTGCTGCAGCTCGATCATGATCTCGATCTTCATGATCGCCATCACCAGTTGGCCCACATCCTCGGCCGTCTCCGTCGTCGCCTGCGAGAATAGTTCATTAAGAATTAAAAAATGAATCTACCTTGAAAATACATATATGACTTATGGAGATGATCAAGATATATAAATATAACACGAACATGCTAGGCATGTTGCACCAAGGGGGAAATGATGAGTATGACAACATACCGAGTCGACGCCGACCTTGTTGTTGATGACGCCGTTGATATCGCCCAGGAACTGCTCTTTGGTGGTGGCCCAGTCGCTGAGCTTGACCACGTTCTTGTACTCGTTCCACGCTCTCATCCACAGCGAGTCTTGTTTCTAGGGTGAGTGTGAAAAAGCTTCAGCCAGGAGTACCACTGTGTGCGTGCGTGCGTTGCGTGTGTGTGTTGTGTGTGCATGCGTGCGTGTGCGTGTGCGTGTGCGAGTGCGAGTGCAGTACGTACCTCTGCCCTGATGGTGTCTTTCAATTGCGCGGCCTCTGACACTGACCAGTCGCACAAGACTTGGGCGAGGAGCAGCGAGACATCGGCGGACGAAGCGGTCGTTCCACCCAGGCCGGGCTTTGCCCTGGACATCTGTGCTCGCTCGCGCATCTGGCTGATTTCTATGACTCGCACACGCACACGCACACGCACACGCACACGCACACGCACACAGCCCATCACGATCCTGGTTGGTGCGTGTTTGGTTATTTCTCACATGCGTCAGCACTAGGTACCGAGCGCCTGTTCCAAATGCTTCACCGCTGAGTGGTAGTACTCATGCTGTTGCACGACATTGTTGGGAGTGGCCGGACCCGTTGCCGCAGTGGTCTGCATACACCACGACACATGGCACGACACGACACTCACGCATCAGCAGCGGCCGCAACTTGGCCCGACGAAGGAAGCGGGTGCGTACCATCTCTACGGTGGTGCGACCGGCTGTTTGATTGGACCGCGCCATGGCGGCGAGATGGGCGTGGCCCTCCAGGGCCAGCCAGTGCTCGGTCTTGGCCAGGTAGACCAGCGTGTTGTAGCTGTCGGGCACCTGGAGGATGGCCTCCTCGAGCTTCTCCTTGGCGAACCGCATCACCGTCATCACGTTGTCCATCTTGCGCCGCTTCTCCATGTTCCTCTCCATCCCCTGGTCGACGATGCCCTTCACCTGCGCGTAGATGTCCATGCCCTTCATATGCAGCGCAAATCCTGCACGATGCGGGTTGCCATGCAATCAATCATTGGTCAATTTTACATGCTAGGCCAGGATTGGGTGAAAGGTACGTACCTTCCGAGGAGGCCACCAGGTGCATGGGCTTCTTGCGGGCGCGCATGTCCACCACGTGGGGCTCCATGAACTTGAAGGGGCTGGGCACCGCCGGCGGCGGGTCTCCGTTGAGGATGTCATATATCTTGGGGTCGTCGGCGAGTTGGATGCCCAGCATGTCACACAGTCGTCTGCAGCGCAGATGGAGGGATAATTACCATATAAATTGACATTATATACGAACATTAATATAAGTACTCAATATTCATTTTATATATTCCTCTCTGATGCGAAGTACCGGAAGAAGAGGCCCTGGAATAGGAAGGGCTTGCCGCGAGTCGTGGATGTCCACTCCGACTGGTCCAGCGCATTGTTGCCGAACTTGCCCCTGCATTCCACTCGTCAGCCACTGGACAAGCGCACGCACACACGCACACGCACACACACACCACACACCACACACACACACAACGCACACACGCACAAACACACATCAAGGTTTACCTGATGCACGATTTGATGGGCAGGAGCTTCTTGGCGAAGACCTTGTCGAGGTTGTAGAGCTTCTCGTATTCGACGTTGATCGACGGCCGGTCCTTGAAGATGCGCTGCATGGTGTAGCCGCGGATCTTGGTCTTGGGCGGCGGCGGGACCGCTTGGCCCCGGGCCGCCCGCGAGCGCGGCGAGAGCAGGGCCGAGGAGGCCGTGGTCGAGCTGGACGCGTCCTCGCTGGCGTTGGTCGTCTTGGCGATGACCGTCTTGGCCGTGGCCGCGGGCGAGATCACCAGCTCGGGCGTCACCCGCTGCACGGAGAGACGAGGCACGACCCCCTGCGACTGTGGCGATGTCCCAAACGGGGCGGGAGGTTGCACCGGCATTGGTTGTGGTTTGCTGAGTATTTCCTACAAAGACATAGTCAGCAGCGTACAACTTTCCTGTGTGCGTGTGTGCGTGTGTGCGATGGTGCGTGTGTGCGATGGTGCGTGTGTGCATCGAACGAATCAAAGTACCTGGCTGGCTTTGTGAATGTAGTACTCCAGGGTACCCTCCAGTTGGCCTTCTTCCGCTGTCCAGAAGTTATGCGACGTGCTGCCGTGCCCGGAGAAGAGATTGAAGAGACACAACACCAGTTGCTTGTACGGCTGTTGAGCATTCCGCGCATTCCAAGCAAAAAGTCAGTGACGCAGGGTGAAGCGGGCGAGCGGGCGAAGACGTGCCTCGCTGGAGGGAACCCGGAGCTCGCGCATCTTCCCTCGCAGCAGCCGGCGAATGATGTTCTTGCACACCCGCGCCGCCATCTGGACAAGCGATTGTCCCAGCGTATCAGCGAGGGTTGTGGTGAGCGCATGAAATGTGAGGGGCGGGACTCACCTCTGTGAACAGCAGTCCCTTGTATATAGAGTCGTCGTGCTTCTTGGACTGCGCGAGTCGGCGTCGCAGTTCGCCCAGGTACCTGTGTATGTGTGTGGTTGCATTGTGAGCCGCGGCCGCCGGCGCAAGCTGAATGAATGAAGGTTGTGGTCACGCACCTCATGTTGACCCCGCGACTGTGCATGAGATGCAGGACGTGGAGTAGTCGCTTGTTCAGCGTATTGACGTCCGTTCCGGTGGTGATGGCCGTATATTTCTGTTGTGCATTGTGCGTCAATGGCCAGCAATCACGTATAGAAATATAAACTACAAATATAATGATAAGATAGTACCAGTTTGCTTCCTGCCCCGTTGGGCTTGAGCATCACGCGAATGTTGCCCTTGTGCACGTCGTGCAGGTCCAGATATCGCTCGCGGTCCCGAAGCGAGAGCAGGTTGAGCTCCGCGGCCAGGTCGGGGATAACCTTCATCAACAGCTTCTCGGTCGCCGCGTGAACCTGGTTGTGGGGTTGATTGATTGATTGATTGATTGATTGATTGCGCCCTTACCTTTACCCTTTGTGGCATGCACCCTAGGGTGGTAGCATGCGCGCCAACTGTGGTCATTGAAAGAGTCGTAGGCGCACCTCGTTGTTGTGTTGGGACGCGTTGGGGTCATTCCGCAGCCACGCCGTGAACGCGTCGGAGCACAAGGGAACCTCGTAGGCGCCCACGAGCTCTGCACCCCGACGGGACACATGTGTGAGCCGTGTGCGGGAGTTGCGCGCGGAGGCGCAAGGAGTGAGCGAAGGTGGGTACCTGGTCGCAGCATCTTGAAGAAGACCGCGCGCTCGTGGGCCACCCGCGGAAAGATCTGGGCCGCCGACAGCGGCGATTCGGGCGGGTAGAGCCTACCAAAGTCCAGCAGGTACAGCTTACCATCCTAGTGTCGTACGTGGACACATGCGAAGCGCACTGAGCCAGCGCGCGCGATGGTGCCGCGGCAGAGCATGTTGTCAAGGTTCGTACCTCTCCCCAATGTCCTTCAATGTCTCCCGGTCCTCGGATTTGGTGGTTGCCGACGCGATGTGGCTTGAGATTGAGCCTGTTGATGCGAAGTTGATTAAACGCTGATTACCGTCCATAAGGCTGAGCCGGGAGATCACTGTGGGCTGGTTGGGTACCTTCGAAAGATGGTTTCGAATTGGAGGTTGAATGACGCGTGGGTGGCGTGCACTGTCTTGCCCCCGTCGTGTGACCTGGTAAATAGAAGGGAACGCAAGGTGAGTGACGACGCTCATTGGGGGGGGGGCAGAATAATGGGTGGCGCACCCGTAGCAGATTGTGTGTTTCGAGACGGGTAGCAGGGACACGGCGATCAATCTGAAGCCATTGTAGTCCACCAGCGTCACTGCGGCGTTCGCAACCAGTCGTGGTCGTGTTGTTAGTATCGCCAAGTAGTGTGTGTGTGTGTGTGCTATTACCGAGCGGCACGGCCACCCCCTCTGCAATGGCGCTGCCCGAGTCCACCACTCGCTGCAGTGCTCGAATCTCGTGACCAGCTGAACGCAGAGCGTTTTGGGTTAGCGATGTGGTACCACTCAAGCAAATAAGAGGGGATGCACGAACCTGCTTTCATAGCGCAGCCGTCCATGGGTACGTCGTTGCCGTACATCCACATCCCTCCCGCAAGCTGAGTATCGACAGCAAACTGGAGTAGAGAGAGAAAGGTACAGAGAATGAAAGACCGAACCTCGGGGTGGATTGTTTGTTATCGGTGTGCCGGTACCTTGAACAGAATGCCTCGTGTGATGAACTTGTCACCCCCAGCAATGCCACCCAGATCGATCGGTTTGATGGTCTTCTCCGCCACTGGCATGAAACGCTCGCTTTGGGTTGGAACAAGAGAGTAAGTCGGCACGACACGCATGGTGAAACGTGGCACAGTGCCGGTTGTCCTACCTGATGATGATCTTGCCGTAGGTCTCCGCGGCGTGCTCAAAGTCGTGTGCGAGACAGCCCAGCTTGTGAAACTTGGTATCGCTGTCGGGCAGCGACACCAGCTCCTGAAACCGTTGATTCCACACGCTTCATCGTTCCACCGATCGCAAGTTAGCGCTTGCCAGAGGAACGAAAAAGCACGCATCACCGCACACGCACACGCATACGCACGCACCAGCGCACACGCACACGCAGGACACAACCACAAGAAATGGCACGTACCTATCGGGACAGGGTTGGACGTAGGTTCTCCTCTGAGTTGGAATGCATGGAGTGCCGTCGGGATTCGTTTTAATGTGTTCATCGCACGGTGCTGGGCATGGGGTCGGGTGCAAGACCGGGGCCGGTTCCAGTTTGGTCACTGCAGCTCTGCCGCCAAGGGTGGAGGCCAAGGTGCTCTTCTTCTCTTCCTTGATCAGTTCGTACTGTTCCTGGTAGTTGGTGGCGTTCTTGGTTCCGCTGCGCATCAGCTGCGACCACTTGTTGAAGTCCAGGTCTGGCTCTGCAATGCGCAGAAAGCAAACCACATACTGTGGTGTGAGCAGCTGCAACCACGCCACAACACACACACGCGCGCGCGCCACACACACAACACACACACACACAGCGTGTGCGCGCACACATGCGGCAACACACAACACATAGGAGGAGCGCATAGCATACGTCTGTCTAGCGCCAATATGGCTCCCTTCAAGGTGGTGGCCGCACGCACTGCGTGACGCTTCTTGTGCGACTGCCTCCTCGAGGTCAGCGGCACCGGCTGGCCCTCGCCGATATCAGCGTTGTGGTGCTCCAATAAATCATCCTCCTGGCCGCTGTCGTCGCTCGTCTCTGAGTCGGAGAAGCTGTAGTCATCCTCATCTTCTTCGCTCAGGTGTTCATAGCAGAGCGTTTCCACGGACTGGCGCGGCGTCAAGGGCGGGGTCGCCCCGTCATCCGACGAGTCGCGCTCGTACACGTTCGCCCACGCTGCCTCTATCATTCTGCCGCACAAAACTTGAACCGCAGCCCCACGCTGAAGGCGATAAAGAAGAAGAAGAAGAAGATCACCAGTGCTTCTTCGTCCTCCTTGCGCGTGTTGCCCCTCAGTCTCTCTTTCCTTGTTCTTTTCTTCTGAGCTCAGCGGGTCGACATTTGGCGGTGGTGTCTTCCTTTCTTGGCTTTAGTATGTGAGTATCACGAATTGGGGACTGCCATGCAACCATCAGGGTTGGTGCGGTTACTGCTTCGTTGATTCGTTGGTTCGTTCGTTTTACGTTTTTAGTTGGTCGTTTCCTTCTCCTTCTGCACCTCCCTCTCGGTTGCCTGTCGTCGCTGATTGAGAATCTGATCGCGCGTTTGGCGCACCTGCTGTCGCATTCGTTCGTCGTAGTCGATGTCCAAGACTCGTGGTGGCTCGGCTCTGCACACAACAAGGAGCGAAAGAGAATGCACAACGCGTCGAGAGGAGACGGCCGTATCAGCATCCGCATTGGCCAAGACACGAGCGCGTCAGACTCACCCTTTGGGCGATCGAACACACTTCCAGTAAGTGCTCCACGCCGAGCGGAACTTGCTGCGGTCCTCGAACAACGTGGTGAGCATGTCTTCCAGATGGTCATCGCATCTGTGGTCCGGAGAGGGCGGCGGTCAGCGTTGTACGTCAGCGTTGGAGTGTTGTGCTTGCTGTCCAGCGCTTTCCAAGAAAAGAGCGAAAGATCCGTGTACCGATGTTTGCTCATCGATTGCTTACGCTGGCTTCTGGCAGTCTCGGCACGCTCCTTCCATTCATCACGATTGATGCGTACCAGCGCCGGCTTCTGAAAACAGTAAATCGACACTTTAATTTTAAAAACCCAACAAAATCTTCAATCTCCGGTTCAGCCAGTAAGAAGACCCACAAGTACCTCTTCCCCCTCAACGTTCGCTGCCTGCTCTTGATCCGGCGGTGGTGCGCTCATCTTCAATTGGATGGAAAAACAATAAAATATATAAATTCAATTATTCCTGGTCAGAAATATCCGGCCGTCGTTATTGCCGACGCGTGGGGTTGTGCGCGAAGGAGGCAAACTGCGCTCTGTGTTCTCCCCCGTGCTGAAGTCGTCGATTAGAGCCCCGCTCCCTAAGGGCATATCCATCGTTGTATTACTTCGACATCTTCCGGCTCCAGTGACCCGCCGCTGTTTGCATCTGCATCGCACCATGAGCAAGCTCCAAATCAAGTCGCCCGTCCCTTCGGACATCGAAATTGCGCAATCTGTCGACCCCGTGCCCGTCAAGCAGCTGGCCGACAGGTTGGGCATCCTCGAGGATGAGCTCGATCTGTATGGCAAGCACAAGGCCAAGGTTCATCTTTCCGTTCTCGACCGCCTTAAGGTACGATTCTGCAGTCAGACGATGCTAATCGCTGGCGAATTGTGATTTTCCTGCTTCAATGTTTGCGAGGCCACTATTACTCTTCTATGACGCAAGCCACGACGTACGAATCTCTCGGGTGCTCAATCAATTCTTGTTTTATATATTGGTGTTGTAGGACCAAGCGAATGGCAAGTACGTCGTGGTGACCGGAATCACCCCCACCCCTCTCGGTGAGGGCAAGTCCACGACCACCGTGGGTTTGGCGCAGAGCCTGGGCGCGCACCTCAACAAGAAGTGCTTTGCCTGTCTGAGGCAGCCCAGCCAGGGTCCCACCTTCGGCATCAAGGGTGGCGCTGCTGGTGGCGGTTACTCCCAGGTCGTGCCCATGGAGGAGTTCAACCTTCACCTCACCGGTGACATCCACGCCATCACCGCTGCGAACAACCTCATGGGTACTTTGAGCTCGCTTCGTTCTTGTTCGATTAGTTGAGCGTTGGCGCTGACGTCATACGTACGTCACCACAGCTGCGGCGATCGACGCGCGCATCTTCCACGAGGCCACGCAGAGCGACTCGGCCCTGTTCAAGCGCCTGTGCCCGGCCGACGTCAAGACCGGCAAGCGTGAGTTTGCCCCTCCCATGCTCAGGCGGCTGCAGAGGCTCGGCATCGACAAGACCGACCCCGACCAGCTCACCCCCGAGGAGGCCGCTCGCTTCTCGCGCCTCGATCTCGACCTTTCCACCCTCACGTGGAACCGCGTGGTGGACACCAACGACAGGTTCCTGCGTGGCGTCACCGTCGGCACGGGCCCCGAGGAGAAGGGCAAGACCAGGGAGACTGGCTTCGATCTGACCGTGGCCAGCGAGATCATGGCCATCCTGGCCCTGACCAACGACGTTGCCGACATGCGGGAGCGCCTGCAGCGCATGGTGGTGGGCAGCAGCTCCAAGGGCGAGCCCATCTGCGCTGACGACTACGGCGCGGCTGGTGCCCTGGCCGTGCTCATGAAGGATGCCATCATGCCCACGCTGATGCAGACCCTCGAGGAGACCCCCGTGTTCGTGCACGCCGGCCCGTTCGCCAACATCGCCCACGGCAACTCGTCCATTCTGGCCGACAAGATCGCGCTCAAGCTCGTCGGCGAAGACGGGTTCGTGGTGACCGAGGCCGGCTTCGGTTCCGATATCGGTGCTGAGAAGTTCATGGACATTAAGTGCCGCTACAGCGGCCTTACTCCCAACTGCGCTGTGCTCGTTGCCACCGTGAGAGCTCTCAAGATGCACGGTACACACAGACACACACACACACACACAACACGGCTTACGATCGAGTCTGACTGACCCGTGGGCATGTCAAGGTGGTGGCCCTAACGTGGTGCCCGGTAACCCGCTTCCCCGTGAGTACGTCGAGGAGCACCTCGACCTCGTGGAGAAGGGCTGCTGCAACCTGGCCAAGCACATCCAGAACATGAAGGAGTTCGGCGTTTCGGTCGTGGTCGCCGTCAACAAGTTCGGCACCGACTCGGACTCGGAGATCGACCTCGTGGTCAAGAAGGCCCTCGAGGCCGGCGCCGACGGAGCCTACCCGTGCACCCACTTCGCCCACGGCGGTGCGGGTATCGCTGACCTGGCCAAGAGGGTCGTCGAGGTGTGCGAGAAGCCCAACGACTTCAAGTTCCTCTACCCCCTTGATATCAGCCTCAAGGAGAAGATCGACATCATCGTCAAGAAGATGTACGGCGGTACGTGACCTCTTACCCTTTCCACTCTTCTCGAGGCAAACGCCGTGCTGCGCCGCTGAAGTTTTTTCCATGTGAGCTCACTCTCTTCGTTGTTGTTGCCTTCCTGGTTCGTGCAGGTGATGGTGCTACCTACAGCGAGCAGGCCGAGAAGAAGCTGGCCACGTATGAGAAGCAGGGCTTCGGCAACCTGCCCATCTGCATGTCCAAGACCCATCTCTCCCTCAGGTAACCAACTAGTCGCCGTCGCACACGCACGCACGCACACACATGCACACACTCATCATCTTCGCTTTCACTCGCCACAGCCAAGATCCCAAGCTCAAGGGTGCGCCCACCGGCTTCACCATCCACATCCGCGACGTGAGAGCGTCCGTCGGTGCTGGCTTCATCTACCCGCTCGTGGGCACCATGAGCACCATGCCCGGTACGCTCCCCTCGCACGCACGCGCCCTCTATTGTCGAGGTAAACTGTAGCTCTGTCTCATCGCACGACACGACACGCAACACGACACAACACACCACACAGGCCTGCCCACTCGTCCCGTGTTCTACGAGATCGACCTGGACCCCGCGACCGGCAAGATCCTCGGCCTCTCGTAATTGGACGCTCTTGCGATCGGCACAGCTCAAACCACCATGTTCCCCCACGGTGCGCTTTTGAGTTTAGAAAAGAGAAAGAGCTGATGACCCACACCGCCAGAAAGCGACCACACACCAGGTCCGCACCCAAGCAGTACCACGAAAGAGTAGCTGACTTGACTGACACCTACGGAGAGGAGGACTCATGACTGCTCTTCTTTGTCCTTCGTTTGCCAAGTTTAGCTTTGCCGGTCGCCTTGTGCTGGTGCCTATGAACGGCAGAAGGCGACCAGCTGCTGGCGACAAGGGCGCCTTTCAATACTTCATCATCTCGATCTTTGCTTGTGGCAGAGCCGTTGGTTATTTCCCGCTTTTTTCAGAGATGGGAAAGAGAATGGGGCAGTAGCAAGAATTGTTTCGTCGAAGATGAACTGTGGCATCTGATCGCCTACCAGCATCTGCAGATTAGCCGACGGGAACGACAACCGACGCAGTGCACACAAATAGATTGATAATGTACAGATCGGAGGATGGAGTATCGCTGCCGCCTCACCATCAGAGCAAGCGAGTGCTGTCCAACAGCGACAGCTTGGCGCGCGCTGACGGCAACACCTCCATCTTCAGATCCTTCTTTGGCTCCTCTTTTCTCAGCCTTCTACCGCACCTTCCAGCGATGGTGGTTCATCGAATGGGCAGAACTTCATAGAGAGGGCCAAATCCTCCCCCTCGCTCATGCCCCCCTCCACGCCTCAGCGGCGGCGCTCTGCATTCGACGTGTGGGATGAGCAGGCCTCTCCCCACTCCTCGCCTGCCACGCCACCTACTCTCCTCTCGCTCTCGCTCTCCCCTCCATCCACATCCTCTTCCTCTGCCGCGGCGCGCCAACGAGGCCAACCATCATCAACACAGCAGTTGCGCCGATCTCGTAGCGACATCCCTCCTCGATTCTCGCACGATCCCACAGAACGATTGCAGCGAGTAGCAGAAGACGAAGAAGATGTTGAGGATGAGGAGGAAGTCGAGGAAGAGGAGCAGCGGGAAGAGACTGCCCCTGCCCCTTCATCCTCTGCATCTGCATCAGGAGCTGGCGGGAGGAGCCAGCCGCAATTGAGGAGCAAATCGCTCGAGCATCCGCGACCATCCATTGCCTCGCTGGCTGCACGACCCGACCCCAGCGTGGTAGTTATGTCATCATCATCCTCAACAACGACCATGACCTCCACCGCCGCCATGCGGCACGCGAGTCGGGCGGCCCCGCGCCACTACTCCATGCGCCAGCGCGAGGCCGGCCTGACCGCCTTCGGGTCGGACGAGGAAGAGGAGATCGAGCGCCTCTACACGATCGACGAAGACGGCCGCGCGCCTTGGAAGGTCTCCAGTCCGCCCTCGTCCTCTCATCAACAGTTACATTCGCCTCCCCCGCGCGTGTCGTGCGTGTCGTGCGGTGCTGACCAGTGTTGCGCGCAGAACGCTCTCTTTTGCGTCGCTGGACATGCCGCAGCTCAGTGACCGGTGGCTGCACTTCATCAACGCCCTGCAGCGGTCCGATCCGCTTTCCCAGGAATACGTACATTTCTCTACGCACCAACCACCCACTCGAAACCGGGCTGTGTTGCGCGCCAGTTTGCGAAAGGCTCATCTCTGTGCGTGTTCACGGTGCCTCAGATCAAACGCGAGGTGCGGGCGGGCATTCCACCCGAGATCAGAGGTCTCTACTGGCAGACGGTGACTGGCGCCAAGGTACCCGCACGCGACGCCGTGTTCCTCCTAACTGTTGGCTCCTCACCTCCTCTGTGTCCCCGTTGTGTGTGTGTGTTGTGTGTGTTGAAAACCAGGGCTGCTTGGAGAAGAATCCGGACCTCTATGGCACCCTCGTGCAGATGCCGTCCAACTACGAAGAAAAGATCCTCAAGGACGTCACCCGAACCATGCCGCACCTCATGTTCTTCCGGAAGAAGAACGGTGCCGGGTACGTCCACGCTGCCATGGCTGCCTTCACAGCCCCACGCAGCTCTCACACCTGTGTGTGTGTGTGTGTGCGCGCGCGTGTGCGATGTTTGTGCACACAGGCAGCGGGCGCTCTTCAACGTGCTCAAGGCCTACAGCGTGTTGGACAAGGAGCTGGGCTACTGCCAGTCCATGTCCTTCATCGTCGCCATTCTCCTCCTCTACATGCCCGAACAGGTAACACAACTCGCTCTGCGCACAAAGCCAAAGCCAAAGCCAAAGACAACGACTCTGACCACCCGAGAACAACCCAGGATGCGTTTTGGGTGCTTTGTCAGTTGACCAAGGTCTACCACATCCGCGGGTTCTTTCAGAAGGGCCTTCCTCTCCTGCGACTATCCCTCTACCAGCTGGGTACCTGCATCCCCGGTTGCGTGTCGTGCGTGTCGTGCGTGTCGTGCGTGTCGTTGGACGTGTCGTGTCGTTGGTCGTGTCGTGTCGTTGGACGTGTCGTGTCGTTGGTCGTGTCGTTGGTCGTGTCGTGTCGTTGGTCGTGTCGTGCGTGTCGTGTCGTGTCGGCTTTTGTCTGACTCGCTCTACGTCGATGGTGCCCAGAACGACTCTTGGAGCTCGAGCTGCCCCAGCTCTACCACCACTTCAAGGACGAGGGCGTGAACCCAGTCCTCTACGCCTCCGAGTGGTTCTCCACACTCTTTGCCTACAACTTCCCTCTCGAGATCGGTACTGCGCTTCACCACTTCACCATCATCATCATCTTCTTTTTCCTGCTCATCTGCATCTGGTGGCCACAGTCGTGCGGTTGTGGGACGTGTTTCTCGCGGAAGGAAACGAGTTCTTATTCAAGGTCGCCCTGGCTGTGCTCAAGGTTCGCTCGCCGCAGCCGTCAAAACCGAGCGCGTGACACACGCACGACACGACACGCAACACGACACGCACACGGCACAACACCACACACAACACCACATGACGTTTTTCTGGGTTTTCTTTGCTGCAGTTGTCGCACGACGAGCTGCTGCCGCTGCCGTTCGAGCACGTCATCACCCACCTCAAGTCGAAGCAGGACGCGCTCCTCGCGGTGTCGGCCGACTTCCTGATCAAGCTGGCCGACGCCTACTCGCGCAACATCGACAAGCAGACTCTCGAAGCCCTCGAGTTGCGCTACAACTCCCCCAAGAAGAGCATCTTCCGCCTCGAGACCGTCTGATGCTGATGCTGTTATTGTTGATGTTTGCGGTGTCGATAATGTTGATGTTGATGTTAATGTGTTAATGACAATGTTGTGCTAGCGCATATGTTTGTCTGTATTGAAAACATTTGGTGGCCTCAAAGGCCGACCACATTGGGGAGTCGAGAACAGCCTTCGACGTCCTACTCCTGGCCAGCGGCGGCCTTGAGTTCGTCGAGCGAGGGCAGCAGGGCGAAGATGTCACCGTTGGTCACGTTTGCGTGCAGTCCGTGCTTGCCCACCGTCACGCTGGAGCCAAAACAACGACACGCAACCACAGTGTCAGAAACTGGTATGACGCACAGCTCACAGCGCAGACTTGCGACGATTGCTGTGCTGACTTACCGGACGCTGTGGAGAGCGGAGAGGAAGGAGAGCTTCTCGTAGGTCTGCCTGACGGGCTCCGGCAGCGAATCGTTGAGCAGAATGGCGCCCAGCTGGGCCGCCACCAGCGGCTTGAAGGTCGACAGCTGCACGTGTCGCAGCTCCTCCGGCACCTTCTCAGTAGCGAGCACACAGTGTTACGCGGGTGAGTGCGGTGTGAATTGGCGGCGGCGGCGGTGGAGACGTACGGGGAACAGGGAGTTAACGAACTCCTGCAGGTTGTCGAACTGCGTCTCGAACACGACGTTGCGCGTGGCGCGCAGCAGCGACAGGATTTGCTTTCCTGCGCGCCATCGATTAAAATACATCAATAAATAAATAAAAATAAATAAATAGAAATAGTGAATATAAATGAATAGTATAAATGAATAATAAATAATAATGGTACCCTGAGGAGTGGCGCGAGGGGCGAACAGCTGGAGCATCTTGACGGCGGCGCGGGTGATCTCGCCCTCGACCTTGATGCGGGCCTGGAGGTAGTCGGCGGACTGCTGGCCCGCCGACTGGTTGAGCTCCACCGTCGCCGAGGCCGACTGGACCTTGTAGAAGTCGAACACCCGCGTGAACTGGTCGAACACGTCGTCGTCCTGGTAGATCATCTTGAGCGTGTAGACGCGCTTGCCGTCCGACTCGGTCACCAGCGAGCCTGGCGCCACACACGGAGGTGAGCGGGAGAACGAATAAGAACGAAGCGACGCAAAAAGAACGAAAGTGAGCAAAAAAGAAAGAAAAAGAACGAAGGAATGGAATGTACTCTTGAGCTCATAGACAAAGTCGGAGCTCTTGGCGAGGCTCAGCATCTGCTTGACGCTGCCCGACAGCTCACCCAGGCTGAACGCTGCACCGTCCATGGACCTCGGTGAGAATCAATGTGTGTCGTGTGTCGTGTCGTGTGTGTGTCGTGTGTCGTGTCGTGTGTCGTGTCGTGTGTCGTGTGTCGTGTGTCGTGTGTCGTGTGTCGTGTGGCAAGACTACGTACTGTCGACATCGTCCTTGACCACGAACGAGAAGGCCACGACGATGTTCTTGCCGGCCACATCGGGCTCCTCGTTCTTGTAGGCCACCGTGACGGCCGACGTGGCCTGCTCAAAGTCGCCCACCGAGAAGCCCACGCGGAACTTGGTCGTCGCATCCGCGCTCACCACCTGCTCATCATCACCCATTAGCCATCATATGTGCCCTGAGTCATATCGTGTCGTGCGCGCGTGCGGTGTGTGCGGTGTGTGTGGTGTGTGTCGTGTGTGTGTGTGTGTGAGAGAAGAGCGTACGGAGGCGAGAGGATCTTCGTCATCTTCCGGGACCGCCAGCTGGCGACCGACCTCCAGCAGCGTGTCCTTGAAGTTCTGTGAAATGTGTCAGGAAAAAGAAAAAAAAAGAGGAATGCAAACAATGTGCGACATACGGAGCCGAGGCGGGTGACCGAGCGGCGCAGGGACGAGAGCGACTGGCGCGACGAGGTGGTGCGCGAGCCGCCGTGCGTGCTGGGGTGGGGGCTGAGAGCCGCGCGGACGCCCTCGTCGAACACGTTCTTGAGGCCCTGCTGGGTGAGGGCCGAGCACTCGACGTACCGGACGGCGCCGATCCGCCGGGCCAGCTCCTCGCCCTGCTCGGTCGAGATCGGGCGCAGGCCGCGGTCGCTCAGGCGCTGGATCGTCTCGCGGTCGTCGCGCAGGTCGATCTTGTTGCCCACCAGCACGAAGGGCACGCCCGGGCAGTGGTGCGAAATCTCCGGCACCCACTAAACCCACAGGACAATACGACACACACGTTAGCTGCGCTGCATGAGCGCACACGCACACGCACACGCACACGCACACGCACACGCACACGCACACGCACACGCACACGCACACTCACCACCGCACACGCACACTCACCACCGCACACGCACCACCGCACACGCACCTTGGACTGGATGTTGTCGAAGGAGGACTGGCTGACGACGGAGAAGGCGACGAGGAAGACGTCGGTCATGGGGTAGGACAGCGGGCGGAGGCGGTCGTAGTCCTCCTGGCCGGCCGTGTCCCAGAGGCCCAGGCAGATGGGCTTGCCGTCGACCATCACGTTGGCGCTGTACATTAGTATAGTAAAGTATATTAGTATATACGCGTTACTTAGTATAATATACGCGTTACTGTTTTGCCCACGGATCCCGTGTGGCCATTAGGGTTTTGCCTACCTGTAGTTGTCAAACACCGTTGGGATGTACTCTACACAGGGCGAGAGGAAAGACTTAGCGACGCGATGTGGTGGTGGTTGTGATGATGTGTGGCTATGGTGAGGTTGTGTGGTGTTGTGTTGTGTGCGTGTTGCGAGAACGTACCACCAGGGAAGGCGTTGGTGGTGTAGCTGATCATTTCGCACCTGTGAAGTAATAACAAAAAATCAATCAATATCACTAAATAATATTGCAATTTTTTTCATGAACAGTATTTTTAATAATAATCCAATAATTCTTTTGATTAAATTAGTATTCATAATAGGAGGGGGTATTACGTCTTGCCGACGGCGCCATCACCCACCACTGTGGTGCGGTGAACAGAAAAGATGTTGTGTTTGTGAGTTGTGTTGTCCCAAAACCAGGCGACGTTGCCAACGCCTTGGAACAGTGCCGCGTACCGACCAGTTTGATGTTTTGCATGTTTGGGGGGGTTGCTTTGGTTATGCGGCTGATAGGGAGCAGCTACTTGTGGAGGCTGCCTGGTGTGGGTTGGGTCTGGTGGTGGTGGTTGTCGGCCTGGACGCGAACGGTTCAAGAAGAAGACTGCCAAGGGCCAAACGACAGTGACGGGCATCCTCGGCTCACTGAAAAAAGGCCGAACGAGCCTGTGGGGCGTCTTCTGGCCTGTTTCAGTCCACGGCCAAATTAATTTGCTGCGGTCAGGTTTGGTGGTCATGCAGATGACGATAACGATGACGATGATGAAGAGGACGAGGAGGCAGAGGATGTGGTGGGCGCGTCGTCGTCGTCGTCGTCGACGTCTTGCTCGATGGCGCGGGCCAGCTGACGACTGAGCGCAGAGGCCAGACGCGGTGGCACTGCATTGCCGATCTGTCGGTGCATGTCTGTGGGCAGAAAACCTGAATCAGCACACGAGGCTGTGCGCGTGCGGCGTGTGCGGCGATGGGTGTGCGTGTGCGACGTGTGCGGTGGTGCGTGTGGTTGTGTGCGGTACCCTTGAGGTTGTCCCTCTCGGCGTAGAAGCGGAAGTCGTCGGGGAATCCCTGGGAGCGGGCGTGCTCGCGCACGGTGATGACGCGGCTCTGGTAGGGGTGGAGCACCTTGCCCTGCTTGCCCATCGGACACACCTCGGTGAGGGCCGTCTGGAAGTACCCCTGGTAGTCCAGCCGCCCGTACAGGCCCGGCCACATCCTATGCTTCGCCGCTGCAATCGTCGCGCACACAAGCCACCACCAACACATCAACCAGCCGCACACCACCGCACACGCACACACCAGCACCGCACACGCATGCGGGTGAGTGTTACCTTTGGAGTTGGGGTTGGAGAGGCACCAGGGCGAGAGGCTGGGGGGCAGGTCGCGGTGGTCGTAGAAGGGCGGGTTGTCCGGATAGGGCTCGCCCACCGCTGGCCTGCTCAGGGCACGAAGGCGCGGTTAGTGACCGACCGAAGCGCACACGGCGCACACGGCACACGGCGCGCACTCCGGAGGGCACGCACCGCTTGGGCACGTTGCAGATGCGCTTGACGTTCATCTCGGTGAAGGTCTTGGTGACGTGGTTGTAGAGCTTCTTGTCCTTGGTTCGCCGGCGCATGGCCTTCTGGAAATCGGACTCAGGCTCGGCGTCGTACTCGCGCACCTCGCTTCCGATCCACTTATCTATATACATCGAAGCAAATGTTTACATCCGTGTGCGGCGGTGCGTGTGCGTGTGCGGTGGTGCGTGTGCGTGTGCGGTGGTGCGTGTGCGTGTGCGTGTGCGTGGTAGTAAATGTACCTTTGTGCGGACCCGACCTGCTTCGTTCATCCTTGGGCTCCTCCGGCTCATCGTATTCGAAGGCCGGAAGGTCGGAGATGGCCTCGCTCACTGAAATGTAGCGATGCGGTGCGCTGCGCGCCGTGACGGGCTCCAGGCGCACGCCCACGTTGGGCAGCAGCATCGACAGCGAACCGGGCTTCGGGAACGTGTGCGTCGGCTGCGGGAACTGAGGCAGCGTGTGCCCGCGCAGCACGCCCCAGATGAAGAAACGACGCCGCGACTGCGGCACGCCGTACATTCCCGCCTGCTGCAGGCTGAAGCGGGCCTGTTCATAGTTTGGAATTGTAAGCACACCACCGCCCGTGTTTTGTTCGGAATTCAAATCACGCACGCACGCACGCACCACCGCACACTATGTAAAAGGTGAAGTACCTGGTAGCCCATGGCGGTCAATGCACGGAGAATGAATTTGACTACGCCGAGCTTGATGCCGCCGGACATGCGCGCCTTGGTCTCCTGCACGCCGCCCAGCTTGAAGTCGACCATGCCGCGCACATTCTCTGTGTATGTGTGAAGAGAAGACAACGCGGAGTCATATCAATTAGTATGACGATGCCACGCCCTCTGATCAACCGAGATCCATGGACGTACCGAGCAGGAAATATGTGGGGCGGTAGAAGTCGACGCAGGACAGGGTGGTGGCGATGAGCGAATTGAGCACGTCGTCTGCCTTGGGGAACCGGTTCATTCCCGTGAAACCCTGAGGTTGCCAAGTCGAACGATTCACCACCAAGAAGGTATAAGCAACCACGAGCAAGGCGCAGAGACATTGATCAATTTTGAGTGTGGTCAGAAATACCTGGCAGGGCGGGCCGCAGTAAATGAAGTTGATGGCACCCTTGGGCGGGAGTTGGTTGGCCTCCATGGCCTCCTTCTTGCCAGTCTTGGTGGCCTCCTCGTGTCGCTCGATGGCATGCTTGAGCAGCGCGTTGATGTCTCCGTGCAGCACATTCGTGTCCCTGAAAAAAAAAAACACGACACGACGCACAGAGCTGAGTTGCCCGGTCCTCTCTCTGGGCACGTAAGACCATGGGGCGAGGTACGGGCGGTTGTTTCTGAAGGTCTTCACAGCCGAGGCCACCCACTCGACGGCGTGCGTGGTCTTGATGTACTCGCACGCGTGCAGGCCTGGGTCGACGCACCCATCACCACAGGTTAAAGCCTTGACAAATGGCGTGTGGGTGTTGGTGTGGGTGTGAGTTCCTACCGTGGGTGAAACCTCCGCAGCCGGCAAAGAGGTCCATGGCGAGGATGGGCTCCTGCTTCTGACGGACCAGCGTGGCCTTCTCGCGCTGGGCGTCCAGCGACGCCAGAGTGTCCTGTGTACAGGGAAAGAGACCCATGGTCAAGCGAGCTTCCTTCCAGGAAGAGAGGAAACTGGGCGTGGGAGGACCCTGCAGGCCGCACCTTGGCCAACTCGACCTCGGCGGGGTCGAGGTCTTCCACCAACTTGGCCGCGGCGTCGTACGTGGTCTGGACGAAGAAGCGGTGCCAGTCGTCCAACCGATAGGCCTCGAGGTCGTCGATGTCAGCGATATGCCTATGTTTTTTTAAAAAAAAGAAATCAAAAATGGTCAAACTCGCTACTCGTGCCTGTAACGCGGGCAAAGGAACGTACCTAACGAGGCACTTGCCTTCGACGGGCACGTCGTCGAGCCTCACATTCTTCTCCTGATACGACCTATGCGAGGTGTTCCGCATAAGCGCAAGCTCGAGCGTGCGGTGTGTGTCGTGTGTCGTGGCGTGTCGTTCGTGTGTGTGCTGCGGCGGAGGTACGGACCAGAAAAGTTCACGGTCGTCGCGGTTGAGGCTGTCTCGCACCTTCCGCGGCAGCTCGCCGAAGCGGAACAGCCGCCGAAGGCGTACGTACCTCGTTTGGTTGGCGCTCCACAGCTTCGTTATCTGATGGATCTCGTAGGGCGTCGCCGGCATCTATCGATCCACAAACCCCATTAATGGTGTGTCGAGGGTGTCGTGCGTCGTGCGTGGTCGTGTACCTCGCGACCCTCCTTCCTGACGTTCTCCTTCATGTCGTTGGGCACGAGGTAGATGAAGTCGTGCTGGTGGTAGGTGACACCATTGAAGATGAAGCTGTTGTAGTACGATTTGGCGCCATCCACCCTGATCGGCTTGTTCAGCCATCTCTTCTTAGCCGCCTGCTCCTTTCGCTGTAGTACGCATGTCGACACGAATGAATAAGCTAGATCATTGCCACGCACACGCACACGCACCACCGCACACGCACCACCGTACACGCACCACCGCACACGGCAGGGAGCGTACCCTCTTGGTGAAGCACGAGTGACAGAAGTGCTTCGTGTCGATGACGAGTCCCTCCTTCTCCTCGTCGGTTCGTGGCGGGACTTCGTGCTTGCGCGCGTCCTCGAATCTGTAATTGCGCGCACATCGCGTCGCGTCGTAAGGTTAAGGTGGCGCAGAGGGATTAAGGCGGCAGGGGGGGAAGGCCTGGAACGTACGCGCCGGTCTCGAGGTCGGCGTAGAAGCGATAGAAGTAGGTCTCCTTGTCGTCGTAGGTCGGATGCTCTTGCGGCACGGGCGGCATGAACACGACGTTGACCTTGCGCACGACGTGCGCGACGACGATGGTCTCGCAGATGTCGGACAGGAAGAGCTCCTCGGAGCCGCCCACCTCCTGCAGTACCGTCTCACGGCCTTTGAGCATCCGCCGCGCGTGCACGGACATGGTGCCGCCCTTCTTGCCCTGCTCCTCGCACATGTAGATCACGCGGTAGATGTGGCACGCCTTGCCGTCGACGTCGTCGGTGGCTGCCACGGTGGTGGCCTTGATCCTGTCCTGCGTGCGCACGCCGGCCTGGTCGATGTAGACAAAGTCGCCCAAGTCGATCCACTCGCCCGCGGAAGTCGCCGCGTCGCCTGCGTTGCGTCGCACCAGGGACTCGTAGAATACGCGGCACTTGTCGCCGATCTTGAGCGTCTGCGTCGACTCGCCCTGCCAGCTGAACTCGCTCGGGGGGAGCTTAGGCTTGGTCTTGGGCTTGCTCGCAGCTTTGATAGTGGCCGTACAGGTGTCGCCCGCTTCGTCTGTGGCCTCACCACCAGCGGGCGTGGATCCAGAAGACGATGATGACGACGAGGAGCTGGACTGGAGTGCGGCCTTCTTGTTTCGTGCCATGCGACGCAGCTTCTGCTCGGCTTCCAGCTCCGCGGCCATGTTCACCTCGCGCAGGACCTTCTCGGAGAAGAGCTGGCGAGCGATGAAGCCTACGAGCGGCGTGACCGTCGCGGGAGTCCTCTCCAGCTTCTTGCCTGCGGCTGTTCGTCGCACGGCCTCGGCTGTCCGACAATAAATAATGAAGAGACGAGTGCGGTGGTGCGTGTGTGTGTGTGTGTGTGTGTGAGCGACACACATGCAAGCCAACGCGGAGGGAACGTACAAGCCGCGTGGGCTGCCCGGGCGGCGTCCTTGCCGCGACCCTTCTTGCCCTTCTTCTTTTTGTCGAGGCCCTGGAAGAAGGGGAACTTGAGAATGTCCTCCGTGTCAAGATAACCCCACGCTTCATCGAAGATGTGGTCGATGTGCTTCACCACGTCTTTCTCCTGCTCACACACGTAAAGCAATAGCGGTAAGCAGCTCACTTGCCTTGTTCGCGACAATACACTCGCAATAAGCTCGTGAGGCAGACGCGTACCGAGAACGAAGGGAACTCGCCGTACGGGTCACGCAAGGTTTCGATCATCTTGTCGTAAGCGATCGAAGGGTCCTGGTTCATCTGTTGACGACACACGCGAGACAAAAGTATTAGCAACACTAAGTGTCATTACCAAACCACCCACATTGGGCGCGCTACTTACGATGATCATGATGCGCTTGCCGATCTGATACTTCTGCAGGAAGGGACGCCAGATGTGCTGATACTTGTCCGAGGGCTCTCCCAGCTTGTAGTGGGCGTACTCCGTCCTGAACCACACGGCTCCATCCGGGTAGATGTCCCTGTGGGTTGTTGTCGTTAGGTACCAGACTGACAGACAGCAGTGGCTCGAAGGCGAGGGAATGGATTCGAATAACGGACCAGTAGAAGATGGTGGAGAGCGCGATGTCAAAGCCCGGCTGCTGTTTCTTCTGCTTGGCCTTCTTCTCCTCCTTCTTCTCCGACGAGGCTTCGTCTTCGTCGTTTTCCTCGTCTTCTGAATCGTCGTCGTCCTCCTGTACGCAAAAAGAAGCGTGATGGGTCCTACACCATTCAGTACATGGCCTCGCTAGCGAGAGACTGGGTGGTCAGTCGTACGTTTTCATCGATCTCATCCGAGTAGGGCACGGCCGTGCCGGACGCGCGCAGCTCTTCGAATCCGTTCTTCGACCTCTTCTTGGTCTCGACCAACGGCAGCATGGTCTCCAGCGAGCAGATCCTGAAGAAGAAGAAGAAGAAGAAGAAGAAGAAAGGCAAAAGTCAGCCAAATGATGATAATCACGTGCTCGCTCTGGCGTGTGATTGCTCCTGGCTCCTCTATACCTGTTGTCGTCGGAGATGTCGTAGATGGTGAAGTCGTTCAATACGCGCCAGGGCTGTTCATCACCCTGGGTGGTCTCGGCGGCGAGAAACTCGTCGATGAGCTCCACCTTGACCTCCTCAATCTCGGTCTCCTGGTGGGCGTAGTGCTTCGACAGGTCGAGGTCGGTACGCGACAGCAGCGAGAACCCGCTCGAGGGCATCACCGACGCGTGGCCGTTGCTGCCGCCAGTGGCGGCCTGCTTCCGCTTCTTATGCTTGGGCTCTTCGAAGGCGTCATCGTCATCATCGCTCAACGCGGCTCGCTCCACCTCCTCGCCCTTGCCCTTCTTGGCCTTGCCTTTGCCCTTTGGATCGTCGGCGTCTTCGGTCTCGTCATCCGAGTCCACTCCACGCTTCCGCTTTTCCTTGGTCCGCTCCTTCTCCGCGCGTTCCTCCTCCTCCTTACGGGTCTCCTCTTCCTCGGCCTTTTGGTCGATGACCTCCATCAGCCTCGCCATGAAGGGAGTCGTGAGCAACACGTTGCTGAGCTGTTCGTTCATTTGACCTGCCGCCGACAACGTCAAAACGTACGTGGTCATGAAGAAGAGAATGTGAATGATGTGTGTGTCGGCACTGTACTACGTGGCACCTACCAAGAAGTTTTGGATCTGGTCGATCACCCAGTTGCCATGCTGGTAGACGTCTTCCTCGGTGAAGCCCTTCTTGTTGGCGGGAGCGTCCTTCTCCAGGTCCACCACCTCCATTTTGTCCGCACTCTCCCCCTCTTCCACGCTCGTCTCGTCTGCTTGTCGGCCCAGGGATCCTTCGTTAGACCATACGCTCTCACGCACACAACGCACAACACGCGTCACGCGCACTCGTGCTCTTGGGAGTTAGGCGCACCTGGGACGACAAGTCGTTTCATGACCTCTTCGAAGGGGAGCGTGCACACGTCCTCCCGCTTGACCAGGTTGACGATCTTGTGGGTCAAATCGACCTTCCTTTGGAAGCTCGCCCAAGCGTTGGCGTAGGCGGGAGCCGGTTGCAGCAGCTTGTAGTAGCCCTGGAGATATGATAAACACCCAGGCGATGCACACGATGAGAGTGAGAACGAGCGCAGTCGACCAGGTGGACCAGCAGCTACTCACCTGCTGTGTTTCTACCATCACCGCTGCTTCGGGACCGTCGTAGTGCACTGTCCACCGTTCAATAGCACGAAGCAACACCTGTGTGTGTGTGAGAGAGAGAGAGAATGAGTGGCGTGCATGTCGTGGTATCGTCCCGTGTGCATAATCGTACCAGCTTGGACGAGCGCTGGCTGCCCTCTTCGCCGAGGTCGGACCCGACGTAGCCATCGGCGGAGACGTGGGCCAGGGCGAGTTCGCCTACCTCGTCGAGACTGCTGACTCTCTCCCTCATCTTCTTTTTGTCCTGGATCATGACGAAGAAGGAGAACCCGTCCAAGGTACGCTGTGCCTTGTCGGAATCGTCAGCACCCTCGAATCGGCCAATCTTATGCACATCGAGTTCTCGAATGCGAGCCGTGGATGTCTTAGCTTTGGCTGCGGGGGCTGCCTTCTTGCTTTTCTCTTTGGCGGCAGTGCCCTGCACAGAGCTAGAAGTCATGTCACCAAATCAATTGAAAAAAGAGGCAATTGGACGAACATTTGTGAAGAACGCTTTGATCGATCCTTGAGACTTCTTGTCCTCCTCCTTCTGTGCCACCCGCCCTGACCGCCTCATCCTACGAAACTATCGATCTCTCCGTTCAATTCCGCATGTCGTTTGTTTTACCTGGTACGCGGTGCTTGCTGACGTGGCACTCCCCCGACCAAAAAGTGATCCTTGGGTTGCTGCTGTTGCACCTTTGTTTATTCATGGTTCACTAGCTTCCCTTTTCTTGGTGTGGTTACAATAAATGGTACATTGCTGGGGTATATTGGATACTTGTCATGGTTTGGTCATGCAAACATCATGTGGTGTACACAGTACAGAACAAACAATTTCCCACATACACACAATATAACTCCAAGAGTGTATCAAAAAGGGTCACCACATCATCAGTATTTGTAGCTAGTACACCTTGTTGCTTTTTTTGTGTTGACATCACAAGCTCATGGACAATGTGAAGAAAGGGGAAGCAACAAGGAATGTGATGCAGGAAACAGTGTCTCCCCAAAGGCCATCTAAAACCACTGGGAGGAGTAGGAGCTCATCAACAGTTAACTGCTGCAGGAGGTCCAAATCAAGATTGAGAGAAGGAGTAGAATGGAACAGTGCTCCCAATACAGAAGCAACAGCAGGAACTCTGACTCATATTGTCAACACCGCCATTACCCTCCTTTCCACTAAGTTTGCAGCAGTGCCTTCACATGGCCTCACACTGCAGCAAATCTGGCAGGTGGAGTCATTCCCCTCACTCCCTCCCATGATGGAGCCTTGGCCACTCCTCGCCACCCTCTTCTGCCTCCTCCTCTGTGGCATTGCTGGAGTCGCACATGGTACCTGATCGTTGGACATAAAACATTTTTTTTATGACCACCCACAAGATGAACCCCACAACCGACCTCACCACCTTGGTGGCTGCCATCACAGCTTCCACCAACACCAACCACATTGTCCACATGGCATCAGGCACCTTCCCCCACCACAAAAGAAATGTGTAGTGGGCTTTCTTTGTTAATGAACTGTTGCAACAAACAACAAAACACAGGCAACTACACACAAGAGTTCACATAACACAACCAAGAGGACAGAAAGAACAAGGACAACATGAAGAAGACCTGTTCTATTCTGGCATTCCCATTGTGTTGTCTGATCCAGCTGGAAAACTCCCACCTCTGAGGCTTCAGGATCAGCAGGCATCGCTCAAGAGGAACGCCAGTGTCCTGGAGGGCGAAGAGAAGATTAATGACTATGGTGGTGACCCCCCCATGGTCGTGACAACATTGGCAGCAGCAGCAGTTTTGAGCCCACAATTGGCATGGGCGAGAGAACAGAGTGGTCCTACTAGGCCTATCCACCAGAGGCGCGCAGTTACGAGGGATTTGTGACGCTGTACCCGCTTGACAGTAACAGGCGGGGCAGTAGACGTGGATTCGCACGGTCAAGCTTCTGACCGTGCTTGAGACAGAAAATCTTCTCACCCGCTCGGGCGTTGCTTGCAACCCTTGAGTTCGCACTTGCCTCCATCGTGTTGTTCAACCACCGCGTGGACGCTGCTTATCAACGGGGTGGTCGCCAGGGCCTCGTTGGCCTTAGAGTTCTCGCCGCAGGGCGTCCACAGCGGTCTCCCCTGAATGTCTGCCCAAGGCATAAACAGCCCAGGACACCAAGAAGTGTGAAGAAATGAGATAGAAAACAGCAGAAAAAGACGTTCAGGCGGACGTTGGCCTTGGTTGTTGGTGAAGCGGAGCCAGGCGTCCGTCGGGCGAACGAAAGACTTGGCTTCGATGCGTTGGGGTAAATCAAAGGCCATGACTGCGGCGCCCTTGTTCTCAGCCGCCTTGACATAGGCAGGCACGGACGATGCATTGCATCCGTCATCTATAGAAGTCTGCATAGACTACAGAGTAGACACATCTCAACAATTTCCTCTGGGCACACGAGGCTACATGAGGACGGGCGGCTAGTCTACGTCCCAGAGAGCCCGAAAAAACCCCGATCCGCAAGCCCTAGATAAAGCGGTAGAGGCTTCAGCGCACCACCTCCTTCCAGCCTGGCGTTCGGCCTTTCGGTTCCTCTTCTGTTCTTCTTCCTTACAACTTCTACGCCGGGTGCACGCTGCCCCTTGCCGAGCATTTGCCAGGTTCGATCCCCTCATCCTCACATTCGGGAATGAATCCCGGAAATTTGGAGCTCTACACGATTTTAAGATTCCATTATCGAGCAACGATTAACCATCGTTTTGCAGCTGCAGGCGCGACTCTCGCACACATGGATGACGACGGGTGGCCAGAGGATGGCACGAGCACGCGGCCGCCACCGGTAAAAGAAACGCCACTGCCCAAGAAGGAGATGTTCGTCACGGCCTGCATCTACCTCAGCGAGGTACCACCCTCATGCTCTCCTACTCTACTCTTCTGTATTTATTTATTGAGTTATTAATTATTTCGCTTGTTAATTGTAGTTTATTGAATTATTATCTATTAAATTATTCACCCTTACCTGTGCAGTCGTTTGCCAACTCCATGCTCTTCCCATTTGTGGCATTCATGGTCTGGGACTTCGGGGTACGACACGCAACATGACACACACACACACACACACACAACACGATAACACTCACATGCATGCGTGCAGGTGGCGGGCTCGCCCACAGAAGTGGGATTCTACGCCGGCATGCTGGCCTCTTCTTTCTCTTTTGCACAATTCATTTCCAGGTGCGCCCACTCGCCCGCCCACACTCGCCCGCCCGGTTTCGCCTCTTATGAAGTGTGCGGTGCGTGTGCGTGTGCATGTGTGCGGTATGTGTGTGTCGGGCAGTTTTTGGTGGGGCGCGTGGTCAGACAAAGTGGGACGCAAGCGGGTGCTGATGGTGGGCATGGCCGGGTCGCTCGTGAGCGTGCTCGGGTTCGGGCTGAGCGTCAACTTTGCGTGGGCGCTCATCACGCGCACCATCCACGGCCTCCTCAACGGCAACCTCGCCGTGGCCCGGTCCTACATCGGCGACGTGACCGACGGCACCAACCAGGCCCGCGCCATGTCCGTCACCTCCCTCATCTACGGCCTGGGCGTCATTCGTGCGTTCTTCTTCGCTCCCTCTTTCCCCCTTCAATCGCGCTCTGCTAACCGTGCGTGTGCGGCGTGTGTCGTGCGGTGTGTGTCGTGCGGTGTAGTGGGTCCGACGGTGGGCGGCTTCTTGTCGCAGCCGACGCAGAAGTACGGGGCGCTGTTCCCGCCAGACACCTTCCACGGTGACTTCCTGGAGCAGTTCCCCTACTTCCTCCCGTGCTTCGTCTCCACCCTCATCTCCGCCACCGGCATGGTTCGCGTTCACTCCCCACACGCGCACACGCCGCACATGACACGACACGACACGACACACGCCCACCAGGTGGGCGGCTATATGTTCCTGGAGGACAAGAAGAAGCCCAGCCTGGCGCTGGTCATCGACGAAACGCCGTCGCCGCGCCGCCGACGGTCCTCCACGGCCTACGCCGCTGCCGCCGCGCAGAAGACAGAAGACGGCGGCGAGGCGCTCGACGAGGAGGCGGAGCGGCGGCTCAGGGAGGAGGTCCAGCGCGAGCTCGACCTCGAACTCGCCGAGGCCAAGGAGCACTTGCTCCAAAAGGTGCGCGTGCGGCGTGTGCGGTGTGTGAGTGCGGTGTGTGCGGTCTGCGTGTGCGGTTTTTAATGATACGGAGCGACACGCAGATGCGGGAGGAGGAGTCGAAGAAGAAGCGCGGCAACTGGGAGGAGCTGCGGCTGATCATGAAGGACGTCGACGTGGTGATCTGCGCGCTGCTCTACGGCCTGCTCACCTTCTCGGTGCTCGTGTTCGTCGAGATCTTCTCGCTGTGGGCCATCAACAAGCCCGAGGTGGGCGGCCTCGACTTCTCGTCGACCGACGTCGGCGCAGCGCTCGCCGTCGTGGGCCTCACCATCGTCGTCTTCCAGCTCTTCATCTACCCCACCCTTGGTTCGNACCCCCTACGCGACCTCCATTTCGCCCATGTCCTAACGACACACGACACACACGACACACACGACACACACGACACACACGACACACACGACACACACGACACACACGACACACACCGCGCACGACACACACGACACACAATATTTAGAGAAGCGATTCGGTTCGCTGATGATGTTCCGGATCGGACTCGCGCTGTTGATCCCCGTCTTCGCGGGTGCGCCATGCCTTCCCCCCCGTCGCGCTGTCGTCTTTCTTAGGACTAACACGATTCTCTCTTTTCTTTGTTTGTTTCTTTCTCATTCTCTTTCTTTTTTCAGTGTTTCCGGCGCTCAACCTGGTGGTGCCGATGGGGCAGGTCGTGCTGTGGATGCTCGTCATTCCGCTCAGCATCGTGCGCGCCCTCGGCGCCACGCTCTGCTACACCGCGGTCTTCGTGCTGATCAACAACACCGCCAGCCCCGAGACCAGAGGCGCCGGTACGCAACACATGCGATCGCTCTTCGCTCTTTTCGCTTTCGTTCTTCGCTGATCGGCTCCCTCGCCAGCCAACGGATTCAGCGAAGCCGTCGCCTCCATCGCCAAGACCATCGGACCCGTCGCCGGCGGCGCGATCTTCGCCTGGTCGCTGACCAACGACCTCTCGTTCCCGTTCAACCACTACTTCATGTTCCTCGTGCTCGCCGTGTCCGCCGCGCTCGGCCTCCTGCTCTCGCTCCGGCTCACCCGCAGTCGCGTCGACGGCGCGCGCCAGAGCGCCGACGAGGCCAAGGGCCTCCTGCGCGACTGGCAGGACAAGGAGCGCCAGAGGGCCACCGCCGCCACTGCTCGCGCCGATGCCCTCCTGTCCGGCGGGCGCAAGCGCACACTGGGCGACAGCGAAGACAATGTCTGAGGAGCATGCCACACGGTCACTTCACGCGGCCAGCAGTTCCGTCAGCACTTGCCCCAGTTCGGAGTTGAGCTGGGTTCAGCCATCAAGCGTGGGCTGTCAGCCAGTTTCTGACCATAAAACTCCGGGTGTCAACGAGATTTTCAATTCATTGGGCTTGGCACAACTTCGGGTGCCCCTTCGAGAGTGCGGGGACTGTAGTCGTGGGACCACCGATGCGCCCACCCTTCAGAGATCATCGACGACACCACGGGCGCTGGCTTCATCACCTTCTGGCCGGAGATCCCCCAGAAGCGCAACGGCGAGTGGGTCTTCGAGCAGATAAGGGTGGACATGCCCGCTATTGTGAGTGCAGGTACCATTCCAGCGGACGCGTCGCAGGCCCCTACGCCGGTACAGTCTCCCTGTCTGGCTCGCCCACCCCCTCCCTCTTGCTAGCGGCTCACCTTATTTAGGCTTGTTGAGGAGGAAGGACCCATTGGCTACCAAAGAGGTTGCCTCTGGTAATTACTTGGTCAGTTGGTAGTTTGTTACCAACCAGTGGGGGAGGATTGTTGCAGGCCTTTGAGGCTGATCTTTGAGGGTTTGGGGATTGTCAATTTAGACTAGTTTTTGGCTGGCCCTGAAAAAAGTCTGAGAAGAAAAGAAAATGACGAGAAAACTCAGAAAGAAAGATGAAGAGGGAGCACGATGAGCTCGCTGAGGACACAGCAGACCTTACTCAGGTCTCAAGCGAGGGATCGCGTCTGAAAGGACCGGATGCCTATCGTAACAAGACCATCCTTGCCCCGATGGTTCGCGTGGTACGGCTCCCTTGTCGAGCATTTATGAATTCGACCACAGTGTTCAATCAAAGTCTCGATCAGGGTACCTTGCCCATGCGCCTGCTGGCCCTGGAGTACGGTGCCGACATCGTCTACTCCGAGGAGATAATTGCCAAGAAGTTCGCCAAGTGCCTGCGAACCGTTGACGGTACGTGTCCCGCCGCGCTCCGTGCGCCTGTGGCTTGGCGAGCTAACAGAACCACATATCCAGAGAAGAGCAAGCGGGTGGAGTTCGTATTGCCCGGTCATAAGAAGAAGAACGTCGTCTTCTCCACATGCGCCGCTGATCGCCCAACCGGTAAC